TAAGTGGGAATGTGTAAAGAAGGATAGGGAGTGTGAGAGAGAGCAAACCCCTGTGGTCAACACAGATTACACAATATAACGGTACATACTTTTTCAAGCATTCAGATCCGATAAGAAGTGACAACCAGAGGGCTACTTCTATATATTTACTGGTATGTCTTTAAATGTCACTAACCGACCAGTCACGGAGTCTTTTGGACACCAGCCTGGAAGATAAGATAAACGTACTCCAACTAATTGCTATGTGTCATTGAGACGAGACTGCACCTTGAAGTGGTGTGATGGCTTGCTTGCCTCCATGATCCTGCGAGCTATACAAGATGGCGTCTCACAGCCGCAGATGCAGTCATGCCCAAAAGGTTAATGGGTAGAGGTTAGATGAAGTTCAGTCTCACAATGCCAGCTGCTTGAGCACCTGGCTTCATTTAACTGTCCAATCCAGAAAACCAACACGGATAGAAGCAGTTTACCGGTAAAAATATCCCCGCTAGACGAGCTTAGGAGTGAGGTACCTTGGGCTTCTTCATGGTGGTGGGAGAAGCGTTCGCACTTCACTGGACAGCTACCGCCCACCCAAGCTGGGCAGCCCCTAGCCAATGAAGTACTGTCCCGCCTACGTTCCGCTAGTCTCATTGGGTGCATGAGACCAAGGGCCTATCCCGAAAAGCGGACCGTCAACCAACGCACCAGTTAACAACACACTGAACCGAAACCCAAAGGCCTTGCGTGACGGGTCTCTAGAAGCTTCCACACGGGTGCTCCGTTCACGCTCCCTCATTGGACCTACGCCCAACTGCCTTGTGGGTCAGGCTTTTGAGTCAAAGGCTCCACTCGCATAAGAGATAAATATTTTCACCTTTCTTCTTTGACTCACTCCGAGGAGAACTAAACCTACAGGTGATGAAAATAACACTTATGGTCATCTAATTGCGAGTGCAAACATCTGAGTGAATATTTGACTGAGGAAACTAAAAGTTTGGCTGGGTCACGTCTTTGGCCGGTTATGGGAACGCACTATTCATTAGCTAATCCAATTAGCTGTGTGAGATGACTGATTTGAAGGTTAGCATCTCCTGAAGACTTACAAACAATGGGCACCAGAAGACACAGGGGAATATCGTGATTCCTCTCTGTGTAGTCCGGAAGGAAATCAGAGGTGTATTTTAGTGCTGACTGAATAACTACGGGTCATTGTAGGATTATCCCCCAGCCTCCGTTTTGCTGGCGAACTCTTGCCTCAGTGAAAATCTCTTCTTGTGAGGGTGTGCATTAACCGTCGATGCAGGTGTTTGCTTCGTAAGCACGGAGACCGAAGTTAGCCAGGATAAACAACGAGACTAGCCGAGGTTATGCACATGTATGTGGCGGGTGTTTGGAGGCTATCCTAGTTGCTTGCTAACCGTGTTTAACTAGCTTTCTCTATTCGTTCGATCTAAGCGTGATTGACTACTTTGAAACCACTGCTTGCGTAAATATTTTCTGTGGCGAGCCTCGTTAATCAGATCACGGAACATGCATTTGCCCTGGTGGTTATCATTGATTCTTTCGCCTTCTGATGTCAGGAAATGGTTAAATACAATGAGTTTTGGAAGAGTGGAAAATGAATTATTGTTCGGTCTCAGCATTGGAGTGTTTGGAACGGCTCTTACGTTTGATTTCACGGTTAAGCTCATCGCATTCAGATATGTGACTCACTGAAGAGAAGTGTTGTAGGATGTGATGGCACCGACGTGGATTCGCCTGTTGCTGATCATGCAAATAACAAGAATATATATTGCTAATTCATCGAAACACAACTTTCTTGAATGCGAAATAATTAGGAGCATGTAGCATACTGAAAGCCATACGGAGTGAAAAATATTGAAGCGGCGGTGGTCAAGCGACTAAGATCATCAAGTTTTCACCTCTGCAGTCATGTGATCAAACCCCTTCACCATCGTCTAACTTGCTCCATTGGTTGTAGCACATAGGAACTCTTTGGTTAGCCGCTTCTCTCTTCAGGAAGAGTGTACTGTTATGTGTTCAGTAAAGGAAGTAGAAAAAAATGGATATCCTATCAATTCCATACTGATCATCTGCAGGTTTTGCACTTTCAGAGCAAGCGTTGTCTGTGTACATACGGTGATGTTAACTTCGGGGAACTGTTTCAAGTGAAACATCTATATCTTGTATCATTTGGTATTGAGAATAAAGATGTGTGAATGAACAAGTTCAAAAGTAAATGAAGAGCAGATCCGCTCGAATGCGTTACCAGCTAATACTGGGATGAACGTGGTTGGCGACATGTCTAAGGTGTTGAAATTAAAAATATCGCAGTTGCATACTACAATATTTTTATTAACCAGCATTTGACTAAGTCTACAATCGTAGTCAGTGTGTTTTGGCCGCAATAATTAAAATCAACTTCAGGTGGTTTATGCGAACGTCCGTTGTAGATGGCGTACGTTAGGGGTGATATTGGCGCAGTGGATTAGTCGCTGTCATCGGCATGCTTTGAACCCATGGTTCAAGGTTCGAACGCTGCCACCGCCACCCAACTTTGGTGGTAGGCCTAACCTAGTGCAGCCTTATACGGTTCACCACTCCAACTCCTTGGGCTTAGGTCTCCATCATGGAACAGCAGGTCTACATGACTACCTGGTTCATTCCGCCAGCTGTTCAGTACAGCAAAATGCGTATGGTAAAAAAGCAGACGGAGAATGAAACTGTTCCCGTAAGACTATGAAGCCACGACTGCAACCTGTGCATACCATTTCATTTTGCGGGCTGACGAGCTTTGAAATCATTTGGGATAAACCAATACGATCTCGTAACGGTAGACTGTGTAGCACATTACTATGATCGCGATACCATGCAAATTGATTTGTTCGACTATTTATTCATTTGTTTTATCTTTGCGAAATGATATGGCTCATTTTCCCCATTTGTGAACAACGCGTATTACCATACATTACTACAGATTGGTTGGACGATTCAAATATTTTACTCGGTCATATGACACCGCAGATAATAATCAATTCAGTCGAATGGTGAGAATCGCACACACGCAATACTTGTCAGCGAAAAGATGTCGGTTCATACGGAGGAAATTGGTGGTTTTGTGCCGAAGATGACCCGGAGTAGCTTGTCACGCGTTTCTCGATTCATCTCTCACAGAGAAAGTGGCCCTGTCGCTCAGCTCACATTGTTTTCACACAAAGCCTATTTGGAACAGATGATCATGCTGTTGAACATAATTTCAATAGTGATCTGTTTGGCCGCGTTTTTGGCCATTCCGATGCTGAGAATCCAATTATATACGGCCAAACTAGAAGATTGTCAGGAGGAGCACCATGAAAATTGTTACAGACTGAATCAGACAATTAGCTGGCCTCCCTACTTATTTCGATCTGGCCTGAAATCTCTTTCTCCTCTGATCGGATCCGCTTTAGTGTATGCCAAAGATAACGGAACCATTGATCAAATTGTTGATGAAGCCATAGGTAAGTAAACGATTTAGCCTTACGTTTAAATAACACTTTCAATCAGAGGCTAGGTGAGAAATATATACAACATAGTCAATCCGCTTTAGGCTAAATTCTAGGACGAGAAAGGATTCAAACCTACAGTGAGGATGCTCAATAGCGTTAGATTTCTCGTTCAAGGGTCAACTATTCCTATTACTGTCCGCTTGGGTGTTCTAGTCACTGATACGATTGAGCTTGTACCTAATGCACAAAATCTGATTCGAGAATTACACGATCTATTACGCTGGAACTAAATGCTTTCTCAATAACTAAGTTTATGCAACAGAGCCAAGACAATCCACAGAGAGTTGTTTGCCTCAGATGTCTTCGGTTTAACCATTACATTATCTGATAACGGGATTTTTTACGCGTAGTTATCCCGTTAATGTGAAACAAACCAATGAACCAGAGACCAATAGTAACAGCAGTATAAATCGCAGCATGAAACTATCGAAAAGAAACTTGTTTGTTACTTTAATTGTACTCAGACAGAATGCGAGCGTGTTACTAATTGCCTATTCCAATTATATATGTCAAAGTTTACAGACAGTGTGCCAAAGTAACCACGAATTGAAATGAACATAACAGGAACCGAGCAGAAGCAATCGATTCTGGTTTTGAGATGGATAGAAAAACAAATAAATTTGAACTACTTTCTGACGGAATTTTTCAGTTAGTATTGGTAACAGTAAGAACGTAGGAACCCCAAACATCCTTACAGCCAAACCGAAGAACTGACCTTGGAAATTCTAGATTTATGCGGAACAAAATAGGAATGAAGATGAATGAAGTACTGCTGAGAATAGCTAACGTGTGTGTGAAACATAATCTCGGTAAGGCTCTTCGAGCACCGTCCCCGGAAATCGATCAACCGGAGGGTGAGCGTAGTGCGATGTAAAGCGAATGATTACACTTACAAAAACATAATAACAACCGGGAGGCAAATTATGCTGAGATAATTGGCGTTCGATGATCGAAAAAAGCTTGGCAAAATCCCAGGTAGCACGTCGTCGGCTATTAGTGCGCCAATAGCCAGCTACATTTGAGCTACAGCACTAAAATGGTAACGCATTTGGAGCCCATTAGTCGGCTAATAGCTTGCTATTAGCCGACTACAACGAGCCACATTTTTGTAAATTCCGTTTTATGCTTTCCATCTTCTCTTTTCTCTAATCCCTTATAAACCCCATATTTTCTCGCAGTGGGCTTAAGCACATGTTTTTGATGATTATAACGCACGTTATTGACTAACTGAATGAATCCCACTTATCTTCCCTCACCCATACTGTATCGTGTTAACCCTAAATAGAACGTAACTTCAAACATGCTTCTACTGTGATCAGGGACTGTCGTGCAGATATTTGTAGTATTATAGAAGACCAGTTATTAGCTGATAAATATTTTAAAATGAAAAAAGTATATTACATTTGCTGTGTAGTAACTTCCTGTCAAAATTTTCCGGCGGTAAGTCTGTCCGCCGTATTTCTGAACCAACTGCGTATTTCGCGTTCAAAACAGTCCGTTGAAACAATGATAAATCTGGTGTTCGTCCGAATAGGACCTAATAAAGTAATGCATATCTTATTATAATTACTTACCGATTACACCTTTCGGAAACGAACTACCGGAAGCTTGTATTTTCCCATGTTTGCCGGTGAAACTCATCAGCACAGCTAACGAAACAAACAGTGCCGTAGACATGGCACATTTCACTGTATGTGCCACGTCTTTCCCACTCATTTGCATCAATTGTTTCTCCTAAGCGCTAAATAGATAGCATAACTTGAACCTACAGATTTTTCATATGCATTGGCATCTGACAAATCACGTTCCAATTCTTCAAGTTATTCCACATCGAATTCACACTGAAGGAAATCGGCTGCACTTATAAAAAACGTACTAGGATTTAAATATATGTTTCAAAATTAACTTACCTATTGATCTTGGAAACCTTTTTCTGTGTTCACGAATGCCTGCCTCGCCGCACACAGGACACTTGATTTGTTGGGTCCGTTGTTGTGATAAAATGTCCAGCGAGATATAAACGACATTTTAAGAAGCTCCAAGTCTTCAAGTGCTGAATGAAATTATGTTTTTTGTATTATTACCGAAATCATTCTTGGAAAAAGTTGATAATGGAACCAAAACCAATAACAATGAAACAAATGTATCGCAAAATTTAACTTACTGACGGATGGACGTTAAGAAACAAGAACTTCTGCAAAGTATCAGCTAATGACAACCCAGCACGAGATAAAAGTCACTCAATCTATCTTTTCCCGCAGTAAATTAACACAAAAATCAAGGATATTTGACTCCAAAAATACGAGCACTTTGTTTGATTTGAGAACGAAAATGATTTTTCAAACCAAAAACAAATATTATGAATACATTTTAAAGGTAAATTGCTGTTTATTAACAAATTTAGTTCATAAGTAGCTCTTTGTAGCATATCGATAAGCTACGTTGTGCTACCTGGGATGGTTCATGCTGCATCGTATGTAGATAAAATAACAGCCACTTAATAGATAGATCAATGCACTCGTTAGGTATCAAGTTCAACTCTTAGTTAGGTCAATAGACTGGCACTAGTGATGGAACCAAACCAGATCAAAATATCTGTATACCGCTTCCTAGGTTTTCAATTTACATCACCATTACTGTACAGATGACGATCTGTCCCACTTGACAAAAATGAGTGCCAATGGACAATTACAGTTCTGAAAGTGTCGATCTACCTCTGTGTTCAAAGCTTTTAAAGATTCAGTCAATGGTGCACGTATCTGGGAAGAAAAGGTGCACTTAAGTAGGTTAATTGCAAGTAAAAATTACTGTTATACACCCCATTTTATAGAGCTCCATTCTTATTATGCGGTCGTGTCCAAGGCGCGATAATTAAATGCTCTTGATTACCTGTTCAAAAAATCAAACGCATTTACCACATTCAGTCAGCTGACAGACTCAGCGCGTTAGGAACGAAATCGGAGTTTGTTTTCGATTATTTTTCTCGTGTGGAAGAACAAAACTAAACAAACGAATTTATTGTCATTTGTTATTTGCTTATCTATACTTCGAACACAACGGAGTTCTCATTCCGGAAGGTTATGAAAATGTCTTAAAAAGCTAGAATATCGTTCTTTCTTTCCCAGGAGCGTTTGCGAACAGTGCCACGACTGAATTACGAACAATCTCAATTCACAGCAGTTTCTAACACATGGAACATTTTTTGTTGCATCGTTTGTTTAATGAGCAATGTTTTAATGTGAGGTGTTGCGCTTGACCATAAAACCTCGGCGGGTCATAGTTCCGAAGGCTACTCCATCGTCACACCAAGCTTACGACAGCTTGTTTCACCACTCACTGAATGTTAGAAACTGAAACACAGCTCCTAGGCAAATAAACATTTTTCGATTAATACATTTTTGGTTTGATTGTTTCAACGTATGCTATGGTGGAAAGTGAGTTGGAGTTGCCAGCACACAATCCTTCACAATTTTGTGCCACTAGTTGCAAGGTGAAAGTTAATCGGTTGTTTGATGCGCAGAGCAAGACTAATCAGCTCTAAAAATGCAGTGAAGACCGAACAATCACGGTTAAGAAAGGGACTTTAAGGAAATCGGTATAAAGAAAGATTTCTCCGAAGGCACTGAATTGAATGAACAAGGATAATGGGAACAGTATGGCTGAAGAAGAAAACATTGTTTATAAAAGAGGTCTTAGGTGATGATAAAACCATTTGGGGTTTCGGATGTCCCATACAACCACCAATGTCCCACATGACCCTTCCCAGTTCGCTCATAGACCAAACAGATCCATTCAAGGCGCATTCTTGTGTATGGTTGATTATACTGGTAAACCTTCCAATAGCTTTGTGAAGTTCACATCATATTTGTTTTTCGGATAATTCTTTAGCACTTGACTCCATCCTTCTATCCTCCTAAAATGTGAAACGTTTATTTATCCACAATGTCTGCCTGTGTGGATAATTAACTATTTCTTCAGGTGAGCAATGAATTTGGTTTGCCGGAAGATTGCAAATTAATGCTCTTGGATCCCTTATTCTGTAACCGGTATCAGTGATTATCCTTCTAACTTTTCATGCTCTTCCCGTAATTATCCTGTCGACATCAAAATATCAATCACATCGTGTTTGATTCTGGCTTGCTTTTCTGATAATCTCGCCCGATTTTAAAGTAGTTATTGACTTTTTTCTGTAACCATACTTTGGTTGCGCAGTGTAACATTTATAACAGACATTTCAAACTGTGACTTTGATTTTTGTGGTCCTGCTATAACTTTGTTTCTTCAAAATGCTTGACATGTTGAAATCTCAACAAAGCATTTTAAATGTCTTCACCGTGAAAAGGAACGTGCATTTAAATGTGGCAGGTGGGCCAAATTTTCACGACTATCGTTTTAAATTAAAAGTGAAACAAGACGCTTGGATTCCCTTTATGTAAGCCAGGATTTTGGGATGAATCACTGTAAATCGAGGTTGCGTGGAACCTACCTACTTTGTAAGCGAAAGAAAATGGTTTCCAGTTCTTCCACAGATATTTAACAGCCGAATGCAGTAGTTTCCATTCTTCGTCTGACATGCCTCAGTTATTTGGACTAGAGTTATCTCACCTGGTCCAGACAAATTAAACACGGTGCTGAGCTCCTGCCTCAAATTCACACAAACACACAGCTAATCTTTCCCTGGAACTCTGAACCATTCCGGAGTGCTGGCACCCGGTGAGAATTGCGCTCATTCCCAAAGGAAGCTTTCAGGCCAGTTACTCTCCCCTCTACCGTTTTTAAATTGATGAAGTAGTCGGTTCTGCTTTGCCTTCAGTAGTCTCTAATCACCCCGGATGACATTCATCAGTTTGCATACATGCATAGCCGCTCTACAATGAATGCTGTTTCTTTCAAAGTTAAATTCGTTTGCAAGTCCCTAAATAAAAAGCCAAGTATAAGCATTGTGCATTTCT